TCATATTAGTGACAAACAATAACAGTAACAACAGCTTTTTGACAAGATTAAAGTTTCTTTAAAATACATTAAAAATATTTAAAAATAAACTACAAAAATTAATTTGATGAAGTGCAAATTAAAATATAGTTGTATCTACAACTGTATTTGATGTTTTGAACTTTTAAAACATTGCATAGTAGAACCAGAAGCTGCTCTTCATATTAGTGACAAACTTTGGTGTTTTTTGATGAGTTAKTTTCATTTTTGTTTCTACTTTACATTTAAAATAAGTTTCCATTCTCAGCAGGTTTCTAAMGTTCTTCTTCTACATATTGAAAAGTTGTTTAACATCTGAGTGGTGCACTACTGCTACTAGTGGTGAGAAAGTGTATTACACCTTATTCAAAATCAATGCAGTCCCACGGCCCTCTGTGGCCCAAAGTTAAAAACTATTGTTCTTTTGAGGCCCTCAAGGTGGCGCTCGCGGCCCGCAATTGGGACACGGGCCATGGGTTAAGAATCTCTGCTCTAAATATCCCCTCCCGCTCTCATCTTCATCATCTTCATCATCAGAGCAGAACTGTTACATTAACAAGATGGATTTATGACTGAACAAACGTCCACATCTTTTTATCATCTCTGTGGGTAACAACACATAAAATACTAGTTTTTTCTTCGACAACTTYTGTGTAAAAAACTACTGTTGTTAAAGTTTCACTCTGTGTGACGTAACTTTTCTACAATGAGGGGATATTTACAGGATTTATCCTCTCTATACGTGTTTTAAAATACTATAATTCTTCATTATATTTGGAACTTCTGCTCAGGTGTGTCTGCACTCACAGCCCTGTTGACACAGGTGTGATGATGTAACTGACGACAGGTAGATGATAAATTACTACCATCTATCACATACTGCGCAGCCCTAATGGAAAGCAAAGATTCAGAGTTCAGCTGCATCAAACCTCACCTGAGCTGAAAAATAAAAACAAGCTAAAGTTTTAGTGGTGAAGCAGCAGCTCGTCTGTTACCACAGTAACTGATGAGAAACGCCATGAAGCAGGTGAAGCAGGTGTTCAGCCAATCAGCAGCCAGCTGTGTGACGCTGCAGTGCAGGAGCAGAGAGGGAGGAGGTGGAGCTAAAAGTCTTACCTTTACCTGAGGAGACTGAAGCTTCTGGTACATCTCCAGGGAGTAGTGATGGAGCCAGAGCTCCACAAACATCTACAAAACAAACAAACAAACAACGTCCTCCAGTTCCTTTAGATCTACACCTGAAGGTTTGATTGACAGCTGTCAGGACAGCCTCACCTGCAGCAGCGTCTCAGACCTCCAGATCTCCTGCGCTGCGGGGTCTGCGTTCACCGACGGCTGGTGGAAGATGTGATGCTTCAGGAGGCTGGGGCTGTGAACGCCGTGACCAGAGAACGATGTGCCGGAGGAGCTGAGGAAACAGCCGAAGATCAGAGTTAAAGGCGAGGAAACAGCCGAAGATCAGAGTTAAAGACAAGAAAACAGCCGAAGATCAGAGTTAAAGACGAGAAAACAGCCGAAGATCAGAGTTAAAGACGAGAAAACAGCCGAAGATCAGAGTTAAAGACGAGAAAACAGCCGAAGATCAGA